ATTCATTCGACATGTTCACTTGGCCATTGCCACTTGACAAAAGGGGTTTGTCCTTGCCACTTGGCAAAAAATGGCTCGCTTTTGCCACCCAGTCGAGGCTCGCCTACACCATTCAGCTGGTAAAAGTTAAGCTACTTCTAACTAGTAAGATACTTGGGCAAGACCTCCCTCGTTCACCCTTGGTACACAAGACAATTAAAGACGGGTCCTGTTAAGGTGCAACTTAAGACCTCGAGTAGTAATTAAATACCACTCCAAATATTTAAGAGCTAAGAATATGGCACAAAGGAGTTAAGAGTCCTAATGAAATGCTATTCCGATCAATGAGGGGCTAGCGATAAGGACCGAGGACCAAGAGTTCAAGTCTAACTCTACCCCCATGTTTATAGGATCTGGTGACGAGATTGAGCCNATTCCGATCAATGAGGGGCTAGCGATAAGGACCGAGGACCAAGAGTTCAAGTCTAACTCTACCCCCATGTTTATAGGATCTGGTGACGAGATTGAGCCAATTATCCTAAAGTTTGGGTTTAATTGGGATTCATCTCCTTACTACTATAAATAAAGACTCCAGGTATTAGGTAAGATATTCAGTTCTAACCTATTTACTCTCTATTTTTTTTTTGACTTGCTTACTGACTTAAACATCGGAGTTCCTTTGGCCGTCCCCGATCATCGATTCACTAAGTATTTTCTTGTCTTGTAGGTTCACCAAGACTTCTTTGCCATTCTCTCCATTTATACGAGATGATAACCCTTTGCGTGAATTTATCTCCGCATAGGCTCTATATTTTTTTTTGTCTCGTCTTTTAACTTAAAAATCGGAGTTTTTTTGGTCGGCTTCAACCATCGATTCACTAAATATTTTCTTGTCTCACCAAGACTTCTTTGCCATCTATCTAGACGAGGCGATAACCTTTTGACTGAATTTATCTCCGCCCAGGTTTGGTAGAATATGTGTACCTNCCTTTCCATCTATCTAGACGAGGTGATAACCTTTTGACTGAATTTATCTCCGCCCAGGTTTGGTAGAATATGTGTACCTGATATCAAACATTTTGGGCTATTTAGGAAACACAAGTTTATCCTTTTACTCTTTCCACTGTAGTATTTGTGACAACATGGTTTTGGACGCTCTTTTTGCTTCCAAGTGAAAAGGCAACAAAAAAGGGCAGATTCTTGTGNGTTTATCCTTTTACTCTTTCCACTGTAGTATTTGTGACAACATGGTTTTGGACGCTCTTTTTGCTTCCAAGTGAAAAGGCAACAAAAAAGGGCAGATTCTTGTGGTGGTGAGATTGTGACAGAAGTTCATGTCCCAATCAATCGTGTCTTCTAATAGAGGAAGTCNTGGTGGTGAGATTGTGACAGAAGTTCATGTCCCAATCAATCGTGTCTTCTAATAGAGGAAGTCGTCGTCGTCGGTGCGGGTGGTCCTTGGGGAGAAGCGGACGGCTGACGCTATTTCATTTTGATTACACTTGGGTCAACATCCCCGATTTTAAGTCCAAATTATGGACTTCATATACAACGACTCCACTTTTTTAAAAAAATATTGTAATTTAATAACNACATCCCCGATTTTAAGTCCAAATTATGGACTTCATATACAACGACTCCACTTTTTTTTTAAAAATATTGTAATTTAATAAAAGAATTTAGAAAATTATAAATTAATAAATATATTTACAAAATTCATATTCTGGTCATTAAAAAATTATAGAGTTAATTTAATTACACTTGTGGTCTCCGATGTATGCAATATCTATCATTTTGGGTTTCCAATCTTTCTATTGTATCATATTAGTCATTGATATTTGCAATTCAATTTTTATATAGTCTCCACATATAGCAAGGTCATGAATTTTAACGATTTTTAGTCTTGTGTTGTTCATATTTCTTTCAGTGGAGGGCATATTCATATAACAAAATGCCTGCATCAAAAACTATAGGTCTAATTAAAATGACATAAAATCGTTGATTTGGATTAAAACCCCATCATATAGCTTTTGGCATATAAATTTGGGGTGAAAGATTGAACCAATATATATATTATACTTACCATCAATATTTTTGATATTAAAAACCTTGCTTATTGTATAACTAGCAATGTTATGTGTACTAAATCATTATCAACGATTAAGTTAGTGGAACCCACTATTATTCAATGGCTGATAATGATTTGATACACAATTTTGGTGCACAAAAATTACTCTTTTATGTTATGTCTAATTCTCGATAATTAATTTGGTATAATAATTATTTATCATGAATTCAATTAAAATGGACAAAACTATAAATGAACCTACGTGGCAGAGATAACAAATTAAGTGTAATCAAAGCTTCTCTCCAAAAAGATTGATGAGNCACTATTATTCAATGGCTGATAATGATTTGATACACAATTTTGGTGCACAAAAATTATTTTTTTATGTTATGTCTAATTCTCGATAATTAATTTGGTATAATAATTATTTATCATGAATTCAATTAAAATGGACAAAGCTATAAATGAACCTACGTGGCAGAGATAACAAATTAAGTGTAATCAAAGCTTCTCTCCAAAAAGATTGATGAAGAGAATGATGTTGGTTTAGGTCATTACTCACTTTTGTACGTAGGGTCAAAATACAGATTGCAAAATACGTCTTACATGTATTTTATAATTCCAAGAGATACCCCTCAGTTTTTAAAATTTAAGTAGACCCACCCAATCTTGGCCCCATACCAAAAATTTGATACCATTGCTTTTTTTTTTTTGAAATTGGTTACATTAATGGTCAAAACTTAAAAGCAGTGAAAGTCGACAATTTTTAGATAATATATCTCATCTTTGATGGATGGAGGGAAAAATTACGAAATATAAATTCAAATGAAATGCAATATAATATCAAAAATTACTACNGGTTACATTAATGGTCAAAACTTAAAAGCAGTGAAAGTCGACAATTTTTAGATAATACATCTCATCTTTGATGGATGGAGGGAAAAATTACGAAATATAAATTCAAATGAAATGCAATATAATATCAAAAATTACTACTGATAAACAGAATAGGTAGAGTTGATAATCGAGTCAAAGTTACTCGACCTCAACTCAGATTCGACTCGTATAGAGCTCGAATAAATTTTTAGGCATATTTAAAAAAATGAGCTTCAAAGATTTGACTTAAACTCGCAATAACATTCAATCCTCTATGACCATTATCTAGGTTTTCTTTCACTCCCATGTCTTTGTCTATCCTCTACAATCGAGTACACATGCAGCCTTGCTCACTAGTTAAAAATAATGAGGGCATTGTTTAGAGTAAACATTATTAAAAATTAATGGGGTGTTATTATAATTTGGTCTAATAATAATAGCGCGTAGCGTAACCGGGAAGTCCCGGTCATTGTACTCCACCGACACCCTTCACCGGTCAGAACCTGCGTACGTACAGCTCATAAAGCCACTTGTTTTTTTAAAATAGATCTGTCCGCACTCGATCAAATTCACAGTGACTTCCTAATTCCTATTGCGGAATTTCCAATTCCAAAAAAAAAAAAAAAAACTCTGTAGAGAGAGAAACCGTTCATCACTGATTCACTACTGCTCAGAGAAAGTGGCTTTCTAGTCAGAGACAGGTGTGAGGAGAGAGAGAGAGAGAGAGAGAGAGAGAGAGAGAGAGAGAGAGAGAGAATGTGCGTGTTTTTTGTGAGCTCCTATATGTATATGATTTATATGAAAGACGATTCTGTGCGTAACTGATCGGAAATGGCGGNAAAAAAAAAAAAAAACCTCTGTAGAGAGAGAAACCGTTCATCACTGATTCACTACTGCTCAGAGAAAGTGGCTTTCTAGTCAGAGACAGGTGTGAGGAGAGAGAGAGAGAGAGAGAGAGAGAGAATGTGCGTGTTTTTTGTGAGCTCCTATATGTATATGGTTTATATGAAAGACGATTCTGTGCGTAACTGATCGGAAATGGCGGAACACGAGGCTACCAGCATTTGAAGTTTCTTCTTCGATCTTACGAAGTTCGAAGCTGGGAAAAAGAATTCGGTAAGTCCGAATGTTTCTACATGTTTTCTTCAACGCATTACTGCTTTCCGAAGCACTTTTTTTTGTTCTTTTTTTCATTTATATATTCGTCTTTTTGGCGGTTTTGAATATCGAAGAACCGACGACAAGTATCTGATTGTTTTACGGCATTGGATGTCTTCTGGTTTCGACTTTTACTTCTTTATGCATAGAATTCTCGCCTTGTTTTGCTCTGCATTTTGGCGCTCTCTCTCTCGTTTGGTTCTTCCGAGTCTGTTGAACTTGAGATTGTTCTCTCTTTGTCTTTTTAAGTTTTCAGTTCGAATTTTATGAGATTCGATCATATGTCTAGTCGAATAGGTCCTAGTTTGGATGTCGATTTCTCGCTCTTTGTCGCTCTCTCTCTCTCTCTCTCTCTCTCTTTCTGAGTTTTCAGTGAGAATTTTCGAATCAAAATGAATAATTCGTCTGGTTAAATTTAGCTCTTTCAAGATATGTGTACGCGTGTGGGTGGGAAAATATGTCTTTGAGTTATGTGCATCCTTCAATTGGAGCCGAAGAAGCGATTTTATGTTTCCTTTCTCTTAATGTTCTGTTTCTTAAATCATGTTGTATGTATGTATGTGTGTGTGTGTGTGTGCGTGTGCGTGTGTGTGTATTTATCTTGTGCTGCTGTTGTTGGTACTTGGTAATGTGTGGTTCAAGTCCTGAAGTGGTGTGTAGTTCGATCTGACTTAATTAAGTGGCATTGCCTTTAATTTATAGCAACCACTTACTTACACTTCCGATTCTTCTTTCTTTAATGGGAGAACACTTCCAGAGGCTAGAGCTAATAATAGAGGAAATGTTTTAAGCTGTATTAAATGGCCATCGATGTTGGGTGTATAAATTTACACACTATGTTCTTCATTACCTGAATTCTACTTTAGGTGTTCTCATTGATTATTTTTTGTTGTTGGTTAGTAAGATCGGATATTTCTCTGTTCGAAATGGTTTGGCTGATACCGCATTGTTTTGCAGAATTAGTTCATGAGATATACTGTTGATTTGTAGATGTTTCTGATGTAGGTTTATCAATGGGGCCGAGTTGAGTAGTTTACCAGTTGAACTCAGCTGAAAGATTTTGATGTGTGGAATTAAGACTGGACTTCGTTTGTAATCTAATGAATGCTGACAAACGGGCTTATTGATTTGACCTGGATCCAAGATTTGTAGTTTAGTTTATCTTCAGATTTGAGTGCCCATAATCTTTTTGACAATGCTATTTAATGGAATAAAGGGGGAAAAAGGACAGAAGTAAATGGAAAAATGAGCTTACTAACCAAGGAGGAGCTCAGAGCATTTTTCAAATACTAGTGTTTAGTCTCTTTGCCCTAAATTAGTGAATCAGGCAAGATGTTTTTGTGCGGAATAACAAACAATTCGTAAGTGCAAAATACTCATAACAGAAAAGAAATGTGGGACATGGGAACTCCTTCACAACAGTCTAGCATCATATTGCATTCCCATTTACTATCAGTCAAGGAAGTTTCATTAATGTAAATAGAAAAATGAGGCTTTGACATAAGTATGTTGATGAAGAAAAATATATTTTTTTCCCAATATCAGAAGAGCCATTGGTTTGACAAAAATAAAGGATATCTATTCATCTTCGATCACAGATGATGAGCTTTACATGAAGCATGTTACTCTACCCATTTTCTAACAACTGCACACACATGATCTCCAGAAATGTTTTGGTCTATGACCCATAATCTCAGCAGGTTTTAAAACTTGAGTAATATTTGCAAAGATCTTTGTCCTTCTAGAGGTGGACTCTTTGGAGCAGCTTTTCAGTCAGTTGATTAATTTCCAATGCGGGAATGTTTGCAAATCTATCTTGTTATTTCTGTTGTTATGTTTCTGCCCTCAAGTTATATCATTAGGCTGCCCAGCAATTACTTTGTCATTGAGTGGAATATGGGTTGTCAGAATCCTCTGTTGAAGCTAGCATTTCATTCCTAAGGTTATATTTGGTTTGTTTAGAAGAATAACTTTATTCTTTTGATTTCTGCTTCAATTTGAGAATTCACATATGTATGGGCCTCAAGCACATTGGGCCGTAATACATAATTTGTAATCTGCTCAGTTAATAACTTAATGCCTAGTGATTAGTTTACCCAATCAAGTTCCTGCTGCATTTTAAACCAGTAATACTTTTTCAAGCCCTGTTTGAAGTTCCTCTTGTGACAACATCTCGAAGTATTGACATATGTGCTTGACTGTTAGTGAACTGTTATTCTGATATTTATTTGTTGAATATGAAGCCTCCTGTTACTGACTCAAAATCTCACCCGTGTGGGTGTTTGGGGGTGAGGGCCATCGTTCGCACTTGTGTGTGTGCCTCTCTTTTTGTCTCTGTATGTCTCAGGAAGTTTGCTCTGCATGCTAAATTCTCTTCTGTTCTCTTTAGGATATGTAATTTATTTTATTCAGGCATTTTGTTTTTCTCCATCGTTAGAGTCATGTCTTTTGATTGCAGTTGGAAAAGGAGAATTGTTTTTGAGTATGAAGGAGACAGAAAAGAAGAGAAATCCAAAAAATACTAAAACAAAGCATTCTGCAAGATCTGAACAAAGAGATCAAAAACTGCATCAAGAGAATGCCTTCAAAATTTTTTTCAAAGCAAAAGAAACAAATTCTAAAGCTTCATCAGCTAAATTGGACTCTAGTATCTTAGTGACTGATTCAAATATGGGCATAGAGCCCTCTGAAGTTTTTGAAAACATTGTTATACTTTATGTGAATGATGTCTACAGGTCTGAGGAGGCATCTCAACATCTGCAAATCCTTCAAATGGTTGATAAAGAAAGCATTGATAAATTTACTGATTACTCTACTGATTTCAATAAAGAATCGAAGGAGGGGAGGGGAGAAGAATCAGATTCTGATACAATAAATGGTTCAGTATCGTCTCAAGGGGATACACAAATAGCTGAGGATCAGAAAGTAGAAAGAGCTTCAGGAGTTCCAAAAAGGATTGCCAAAAAGAATACCTCTGACAGTTGTTCCCGTTCATCAAGATTAAAGTCTGACCGGGGGAAAAATATTGCACAGAGAAAGCAAAACACTCCAAACAAAGCCACAAAATCAAATAAAGGACTTTCTGTATCCGCAACCAAAAATATGTCTGATAACAACTCAAAAATTATGAAAGTTCATCCAAAACCTTCATCAGAATCCTCTGAAGGAGTTGATGATAAGCTTCTTGTAGACGCAAAGGAAGTGGATATCATGGATGAAGCCTCAAATGGAGCTCAGAGTGTTGAGAGTGATGATGAAACTGTCAATGCTGAGGAAAATGGAGACCATGAAGACAACATGGCTTTGGATAAAAAAATTGAAGAAATGGAAATGAGAATTGAGAAACTTGAAGAGGAGCTTAGAGAAGTTGCGGCTCTTGAAATTTCGCTTTATTCTGTGGTACCAGAGCATGGCAGCTCGGCACATAAGCTGCACACACCAGCAAGGCGCCTTTCCCGACTATATATCCATGCTTGCAAAAATTGGTCTCAAGATAAGCGGGCCACGGTTGCTAGGAATTCTGTATCGGGGCTTGTTTTGATTGCCAAGTCCTGTGGCAACGATGTTCCGAGGTATGTAGAAATTATATGTTTCAGTTGGAGGATTTTGGCTTATGTTTTCATTTACCGTGGACTAATAGATGTTTCTCTTTCTTCTGGTGGTTAAGGTTAACTTTCTGGTTGTCAAACACAGTCGTTCTGAGGGAAGTTATTTCTCAAGCATTTGGCAGTTCGTGTCATTCAAGTGCTCTAACAAAGATTATTGAATCAAATGGAGGAGAGAAGAATAGCAAAGGGACGCCTTCATCACTAAAATGGAATGGTAGTTCTGGCAGCAGACAATCAAACAAACTTGGTTTCATGCAGTTCATTGATGACTGGCAGGAAACAAGAACCTTCACAGCTTCACTCGAGAAAGTTGAATCCTGGATTTTCTCTCGCATAGTTGAATCAATATGGTGGCAGGTAAATACTTCACTGACTACTGTGCTGATGTTGTGGGTGTCAGATTTGATGCTCATACCTAATCAAATCCTAATTATACTATCTGAAGCAATTAAATAGCATTTTTTATTCCTTTTTAACCTAGTGAAAATGAGTCAAGTCATGACCTAGTGGTGAAATGCAATATGTCAAGAGCTAAGCTATATATGATCAAGACCCAAAAAAATTTTGGTATGTTGTTCAGGTTTAGGTGTAAGCCATCATCTCTGGTGTAGTTCACTGTAGTGTGTGATGGTCATTGCTCATGTGGTTTTCTCCTGTTGCTGACTGACTTCTTGTTCTAGACCTTGGCTCCTAATATGCAATCTCCAGCTGAGGATTCGAATAACAATAAAACTATTGGAAGGATATTGGGACCTGCCTTGGGTGACCAGCAGCAGGGCAGCTTTTCCATCAACCTTTGGAAGAATGCCTTCCAGGATGCTTTTAACAGACTTTGTCCCGTTCGTGCAGGGGGACATGAATGTGGTTGCTTGCCTGTCTTGGCAAGAATGGTATGTAATGTTTGATATGTTCACCCTCTATATGTAGCTCCAATATGTTTGGCAGATGGAAAATGAGCTCACGAGACTTAAATTCTTCTATTTTTCATTTCGTCTATCTGGTTGTAATTGCTTGCATTTATATCTTGTATCTGTTGTTAGGTAATGGAACAATGTGTTTCCAGATTAGACGTAGCCATGTTCAATGCTATTCTCCGTGAGTCTGCGCATGAGATCCCAACTGATCCTGTATCAGATCCTATACTTGACCCCAAGGTTTTGCCCATACCAGCTGGAGATTTGAGCTTTGGGTCTGGTGCACAACTCAAGAATTCGGTATGTATCAGAATCAATTAGATTGTGTTTATGGATGATCTAGCAATCTCACCTACTTCTTTGGTTACTTTGTTTGCAAGAGGGGCTCAAAATTCCAAATTATGTCTAGTTATCAGTTCCTTAAAATCTAGTAGGAGGTCCGCTACAATTATAATTGCTACTGTAGTGAGTGTACT